ATTCACCTCCTGGGTGGGGATCAAACTCATGCTGAAGTGGCTTTAGCTTCTTTAGCTGTGCTTTAACCTGCTGTGCCACCAGGAATGGCCTAATTCTAGAACATTTTTGTCACTCTCCAAAAGAAAATCCCCATATCCAATAGTAATCATTCCAAAATCCCCTCTCCCCTCAGCCCTGACAACTACTAGTCTAGTGTGTGTTTTGATTTACCTATTTGGACATTTAAAATAATAAGGAATCACCTGGTATGTGATCTTTTTTTTTCCCCGGTCTTTTTTTTACACAGTGTAGTGTATTCAAGGTTTGTGTTGTATATATTACTATTTAATTTCTTTTAATGGCTTAATAGTATTCTAGTATTCTGTATACCACACTTTGTTTATTCTTTCATCAGTTAAGGGACATTTGGGTTGTTCAGTTTGATTATTATAACTAATGTTACTGTGAATATTCATGAACAAGTTTTTGTGTGTATATGTTTTAATTCTTTTGGTGGGTGTACAATTAGGTATGGAATCGTTGGGTTCACCTGGTTAACACAGTATCATTTCTGGGGTGCTTATGTCAAGGCTTCCTCAACTCAGTTTAATCATGGAAGACACTAGGCAGTTCTGAAGGACTAAGGAATAATCAGTGTTCTTGGAGAGTATCAGGTTGACAAGAGAAAAGGGAAAGATATTGAACTTTGTAGATTATAGGAAACTAGGAAGAAATAACAACCCATGACCATATGGGATCTTGGAACATAAAAGGACATTAGTTAAAACACTGGTTGGGTTGGAAAGGATCTTTGGTTTAATGGTATTGTTAATTTTCCAGTTCTCATAATTGTCTATGACTATGAAAGATATGACATTAAGAAGTCTGTGTGGGGGATACTTGGAATCTTTCTCTGTAGTGCTCTTGTAACTTTTGTGTAAATTTAGAGGTAGCTCAAAGTTAAAAGTAGTACAGAGTTAAAAATAATCTCATATTTTGTTGCACTCACATGTCTGTAGATTAGCTAGACTTGGCTTACCATGGCTGGGCTCAGCCCCAATCTGCACTTTGGGTGCAGATCTGTTTCATGGGTGTCTCATTCTTTTTGGACCAGAAGCCTTGTGGAGCATGTACTTCTCATGATAAGGGCAGAATTCCAAGAGAAAAGTGAAACAGGCAAGCACAGTTCAAATCTCTGTGCCACATTTGCTAAACCTCCACTAGTCAGAGCACATCTTAAGCCAAATTCAAAGTGGGGGTGGGAGAGTACCCTCTAGCAGCAGCAGCAGCAACAGGCAGTAAAGCCTGTAGGTACAGGTGGGGGGAAGAAAATTAGTTCTAATAAAGCAGTCTAGCACAGGTTATTTCCCATCCTGGGAAAAGTAGAAGTTGTTTCCTAGGTCTTGGTCTGTGATTGAAGTCAGTGACAGAGACCCAGTGGCAGTCAAAACTCAAGTATGACGTGGCCTTGACTAATTTGGACAGGTTTTATACTTACTGTGGACAGTGTCAGTCCTCAGGGAACCATGGGTAAGGAAACATGCACTGTAGGCTTCACAGTCCTGGTTGCCTTTCTGGATCTGTTCCATTTTCTGTCTGTCTTCTTGCCCTACCCCCCGTCTAATTTCTGACTCTTCATCTGTTTGTATTTTGAGTGTGTGTGTGGTTTCTTTTTGTGCATGTGTGTGCTCTATTCTACAATGTTTTGGTCTTTTGTCCTCTGCACAGAAGCCTTAAAAGGATGCAGGTCAGATCACACATTTTCTCTAATTTGGCCTTTTTCCAATGGGGTGGAAACCTTTGAAATACTGTATTTTCTGCTGCCTCTGCCACTGCTCCTGCCATGGTGGTTCCGTATATTTTAAACAAGCATAACCTGTATTTTAAGTTAATGCTATTGTGGTTGCTCTTGCACCCTGTGGTGCCTTGTGTGAAGGGAGTAATTTTGGAATTTTCCCCAAATAAAATAAATTGATTCACATAAGATCCCAGCCTCTCCCTTTGCCAGCTTAGCATGGTATAACTTGTTGTATTCTGAAACTTATAAAGTCTAACTTCAATGAAAATACTATTGTTATTGCAGTATTAGTACTACTACTAAAGACATACTAATATTACTGCTAATTGTGAATCTACTTGCTCTAATAAATCCTCATTGGCCTTTCTTTACCTTTTTAGATCAGTTCAGATTTTCTTTCAATTTTATTTACTTAGCAAATAATATGTGGTAAGTCACATGATAGGTCTTGGGGTAAAGTAGTATCTGTGTTAGCCAGATAAGTAAGAATATTCAAATATGCATACTGATTATTGTAAGTGCTATAAAGTAAAGGTTCTTGGTGTGCTAAGACCTTTATGGGCAGCCAGATCAGAAATGAGGAATTAGAAGATGCCTTTCAGTGGCAGTAACTCTTAGTTGTGATTGGAAGGTTGTGGAGATTGAGGCTGAAATTGGAAAGAACATTCTGGGCAAGAGGAGCAGCAGGTGGAATGACCTTTTGGTAGGAAGACACACCATTCTTTCATGGAGTGGAAAATGCCAGTGTAGTTTAGAGCTTGGGGTTGAAGAATTGATAACACTGGATAAATGGCTAGATTTTAATGAGCCTCATTGACCAGTGTGAGGATTTTTGTTTTTGTTCTGAGCACAATATGAATCCATTAAAAGGTTTGAAGCAGGGGGAATGACATAGTTTTGTATTTTGGGGAAAAAATTCATTGTAAAGAACAGTTGAACTGGTGGGTAAGAATAGACAGTTGGAAGGTTATGACACTGTCTGGAAGAGAGGTGGTGGTTCAGACAGAACAGCAGTAAAGAGAACAGAAAGAATTCATGAAGGAATTATGAATTCAAGAGACATGTAACAGTGGATATCACCAGCTTTTAGAGACAGATTGGGTATGGGGCTGGCAATGAAGAGGAAAATATCAAGGATGACTGAGCAGCTTAACACAAGTGAAGAAGGTACTGTATTGTTTTGTTAATATTATTTCTCCAGGTGAAACAGTCTTTCCCCATCATAGAGTTGGATGTAAAATTTCTGCTAAAAAACTTACCTCTTTGCTTCATGATCATACAATCAGATGTTTTTAGTTCTTCTTTGTCATTCTTACTAATATTTGACCTCATTTCCTTCCAAAATCAAATTTCTCAGTCACCAGCTCTCTCACTATTCTAGCCTGGGCTTCCTGATGGTGCACTAAACTGACAGTCTCCACAACCCATCTCGTCCTTCAAACTTGGCTCAGCCTGACAGTTTCTGTGTCTGATCCTTTCCATGCTGGGCTCATCTATTTAGGACTTCCTTGTTTTCTCAATCAGAGCTTCACTTTTTTGCCCCATTTAACTCTGAACCTTATTTTAGTAAAAGTGTCTCCCCAATGTACTGTGAACATATGTATTTTTTTAAATCATTGGAGCATTTGGGATGAGCTTGGGGCTAGAAAGTGGATCATTATGCATATATACTCAAGTATTTCTGTAGCCAAAGATACAGAAACTCCCTGTCAAAGTGTGCTGGTAGGAATAGGGCAGTTGTCTTGGCATGGACTTTTCCTGGCAGCTTGATTCTTTGGTGCGCTACAGTGGTTGGTGAAAGATGGAATTCATAATGGTCCTTCCGCAGTTGAGAAAATCTGAGGGTTTACAGCATTGTTACTGTTTCACGCTCAAGATTTGTCTGATCATCTGAAAGCATTGTGCTGTGTGCTACCCTCAGAGGAATTTTTTTCAGATTTTCATCCTTTTTTGGTTCTTGAATCAAGCTACTCAGTATCAGCAAGGTGATGCCATCCGCTGGCAGGAGAAAGTAGATTCAGAGTTGAGGTTCCGAGCAGCTTCTCTGCTTTAAATTACCAATTTCCTAAAGAGCCCTGTTACTGACATTCTCTATCACTGTAGCTTTGAGTAATTCCTCTTTGTATTCCTAGTACCTACCACACCACAGTAGCCTTGTGTATTGTAGTTGCTTGGTAAATATGAACTGCATGAATGAAAGAATGTAACATTCCATTGTAGCATGTGATCAGCTCTTCTGAGTTAGGTGGGAATAGGTTTTGGTTTCTCTCTGGTTCTGAGTCTCTACCTCCTTGCCCCTTCCAGCCCCTTCTTTGTCCCTTCACATGAATGTTAAACACCACAAATTTTATGTGTTAAGGTCTGGTGTAGTGACTTGGATAATAAAAAAAGAGGAGATAACAGCACCTGTACTGAGAGAGGGGAGAGCCTCATAGAAAGAGCTTGATTAAATAGCAAAGAGTTTTAGTAAACTTACTGGAATGACAGTTTGTCTGGGGTATGTGGATTTCAGGGGAGGAAGGAAAGGTGTCAAAGAGGAAGTAGTAATGTGACCATGTCAGGAAAGAGGAGGACATAGTCATCATTCATCTGCACATGCAAAAGGCTTATTGTAGCTTAATTTAAACAAAAGAACTTCAATATGCAGCCTCAACTAGGAACTTTGGTCTCCAAAATGAAGTGCACATACCTTTGTATACTTTCCCCCTTCCTTTATCTGATGCAATTTAGAAATGGAGTACCTGTGAATGGTATGTAAGAGTGTGTAAGATATAGATGGGTTCAGATAACTCAACATAGTAGTCTCCATGTACTGGCCTTCATGAACTAATAAGTTCTGCTGATTTGTTACCAACCATTTTATCATAGTGTCCAAAGGAGGACCTTATACCTCATGAATGTGTACCTTGTTCTTATATCTTACACCCTCTCTCTTCTCTGCTTTAGGTCAGGCTGTCCCTGCAGGATCTCATGTGCGGCTAAATCTCCAGACTGGGACAAGAGAAGTGAAACTCCAGTATGAAGACAAGCTCCAAAATAATCTGAATAATTTGAAAGGTTCAAAAAAAGGAAGAAGGTATAGTGTCAACCCTAGGGACCAGGAGGCTAAGTGACAGTTTTAGTACTTTTTAATTATAAAATAATGACAGTGTAGTGTTTCTTACCCAGATTCAAATGCCTTTAAAAAAAAATTGAAACGTAATAGCCTACAATGTGTAATAAATCTGTCAGTGTTTTATGAAAGTTTATTCTATAGTCTTTGGAAAGAAATAGTTTGCAAAGCAAATTGATACTTTTAAAAGGCTGTAGGGGGAATGCTTAACCTGCTTTAAAAATGAAGCTCTTTTTCCCAGTATTTTAAGAGCACCCATTTGAATCCCAACAATTAATGCACTGATTACAGATGAGTCATCTATTCATTAAAACAGGCCTGTTAGGCCTTCTGCTTTGCAGTAATACTTCCTTAATGAACAATAAAATTGCATTTTAAAGTCTTTAATTCAGGCTAACTTTTCCTCTTGTTAGTCCATATTAAAACAGACTTTATTATAGTGTAAAAGTCCTTCATTGGTTAGAGGTTGCCTTATTTTTTTAATGACCAGTTCAGCTTATTTGATTTTGGACTATTTATGGTTCCTATTTTTCTGTTCTTTGCTTTGAATTAAAATATTTCTTCTATTGCCTGCATGAAGGAGGAGGTTGAGTATGGGTTTGCAGGGTCTCTTAGAGTTGTGTGGTTTGAAAGGTCAGTGTAACTGCCAGCCATATAGTTTCTAACATAGGCACCAACAAATTAGGGTCTGTGGGTTACTCTGGGGTTGCTGCCTGTTTTTGAATGACCTACAAAAACAAACATTTTTTTAATGACTGGAAACAAAGCAAAAGAATAATATTTTATGAATCATGAAATAAATTTCAGTATCCATAAATAAAGTTTTAACAGACTATAGCCATGCTATTTATCTGTATATTGTCTGTGGCTGCTTTCTTGCTGCAGTGGCAGAGTTGAGTAGTTGGGACTGTAACCATAAGCCCTACAAAGCCTAAAATATTCCATCATTCTTAGAGAGATTTGCTGCCCCTGTCTTAACATGTTAGTATTGGAAATCAATCATGGATTGAGTGGAGTTAGTGTCACTTAGTACTTTGATTTTTATTATTTTAACAATATATTGCAGTTGGATATGAGTCAGAAAAGGACCCAGTTCTTATCTGTCACTTCCTTGATTTCCTAACAAAAGCCAGGCTGTGCATTTGCACATTCACTCATGTGGCACATACAGGTCCACAAAGCAATGTGTTTAGATTTGAGCAGCTTTCATTGTTGGAAAATTTAACCTTATATTATACTTGATAAGGTAAAAGATAAGAAGGTACTTGGTCTCCTTACTGTCCCTCCAAATGGGAAGGAAACTTACCTTTCCCCATGTCTCTAGATAAACCTATATGGTCCAGATCATATGGTGATTCCTTTCTCACAACCATTCAAGTAAGAGTCAGATCTCATTTTGTAGTGCCAGCCAACCCATGTACCCGCTGCAATACACATTTCTTTGTTTCAAAGTACTTTGTCTTTTCCCACATTGGAACCAAGTCTTACTTTCTAAATAAAAAAGTCAGTATATTTTGTCTAAGAACATTGAACTAGGAACTTCATTAATTTGGAATTTTGTAATATGGTTTATATTCTATAAGGTTATTTTTCTAATAACAGATCATTGATCAGAGAAATTATTTTGTCTCTTTAGACACATGGTCTGTGGAAGACATAAATAGAATATTTGTCCCCACTTTTGCTTTTTCACTTTTCTCTTTTGGGGTGTTATTGAGCTTCTGCCTTAGGACAGCCTACTCCTCTTACTTCTCCATATTCATACCCAGTGGCAAACCTGTGTGAACAGAAGTCAAAGGTAATGACAAGGTGGTAGATGAGCTCAGTGAGCCTCTGGCTGCCTTTGCTGGTCACTTCCTTTCCTACTCCGGAGTTATACCACATCTTCTATGCTTCCATCTCCTCTTCACAGTGTTTTCTTGACTCCTTAGCACTGGAAGGGAACCCATGCCAATGGGCAGTGCCTATTCCCGGAACTGTTACCATAACTTACCTATCTGCTTTTTGGGGGGGAATAAGACCCACAGCTTTCCATCAGATTGTTGAAGATGTTGGTGATCCCACGGATTTAAGAGCTTCTGAAAAGTGGTGATAGTCCAGTAAGCCTAACCCCTAGCAGTCTAGTCAGGTGCTAGATGCACTTGAAGGTGCTATTTATTGAACTAGAGAAGATTGGAAATGTGACAAATTTATGGAGAGAATAACAACCACCTATGTTTTGGATGTAATAAGCTAGCAGTACCTTTAAATGTGTCTGTTAGGTAGTTGTACAAGAATCTATTTCATACTCAAGGGGAGAAGTATGGGCTGAAATAGGTAAACCTGATTTTTCCCGATAGTAGTGAGGACTTTTCCTCATAGATAGGAAGATGTAGTGGGGAGAGTAACATTAGAGAAGATTGCTCAGGATTAATTCTCAGACATTACAGCATATGAGATTCAGATAGGAGATGAGGCACCAGCAAAAAAGTACAAGAAGGAAAGGAAAGAACCAGGAGAATATACTAGTAAGGGTCCAGGAAAGCTTTGGACAGGTGGACATCAATGCCAGCACCTCCAAGGAGTAGGGGTGAACAGTGTAAAAGCTGCAGGTAGGGGAACATGATGTGAATGAAGAATCTGTTGAATTTGGCCAGCAATTACTAGTGACTGAAAACAGTTTTAGGGGGCTGTGAGAACAGAATCCAGATTAGAGAAAATAACCTTGTAAATAGTAGTCAGAAGGTGAGAATAGTGAAGTCAGTGTGTTCATAAAGTCTTACTCTGAATGGGAGCAGAGAAAGGCATTATAAATAGAAACTGTGAAGTCAAAGAAGTATTGGTGTGGTAATGGTTTTAATTTGATCAAAGAGAGAAATCAGTGACGCAGGCAGAGTGGGAGTGGTAAAATTATGGGTGTTAAGCTTTTGAAAGGAAAGTGGAAAGGAAAGTGGGATGTGGAGTATTAGTTTAACTAGGCACAAGGACACTGTCATTCACTGAAATAAAAGGGGAAGCAGAGAATGTAGATTGAGGTGACAGTTGGCTAATAGAGCATGATGGCAGGACAAGGGGATTCTTGGTGATATATGTTTTTGTCAGTGAAGAATTAATTTGAGAATACCAACTGAAGATGGTTGTTTGAGTGTGTGCATGCACAGGCACATACATCTGCACTTGTGTGTGTGTATAGTTGGGCCTGAGAGTGGACAGTGATGGGTGGCCTGGACGATTGCGACGTATAACAGTGAGTACATAGGGACACAAGTGGATTAGTTTTGACCAAGTCTTAGAACAGGAAGGAGATCATCTGTTTATGCCCTAAATAAAAATGGTTCCTGAGTTACGATTTTTTAATTTTATGAAGGTGTGAAAGCAACATTCAATAGAAACCATACTTAGAGTTCAGAATTTTGACTTTTCCTGGCTCAGCAATGTCTGGTATGATACTTTTGTGATGCAGGCCGAGATCAACTAGCCCTGGCTCCCCATCAGCCATGCTAGCACAAGGGTGCACACTGGTTCTCTGCAGTGTGCTGTGTTATTAGTATTTTGATCCAGTGTTTTTACATCCTATTATATCTGTTTTTTCACTTTAGTACTTCATTATATGTGATGTTAAGTACTTTATTATGAAATAGGCTTTTCATTAGATGATTTTGCCCAACTGTAAGCTGATGTAAATTTATGAGCACATTTAAGGCAGGTGAGGCTGAGCCATGGTGTTTGGTAGATTAGATGTATTGAATGTATTTTTACTTAAATAAATTTTTTCAGCTTAAGATGGGGCTATAACCGCATCTAATGCTAAGGAAGATCTGTCCTTAGCATTCTCTCTTAGAAGGAAGTAGAGGACCACAGTATGCCCATGCAGTTGGCAGTGGATAATGCTCTGTGTTGAGAAGTATTCTCCTATGTTTTAGTTTTGTGGTAATGATTTGAATGAAGTAATATTTTTAAGGGATTAACACAGTGCCCAACTCAGAGTTAAGTGCCCAATAAATGGGAGTAATTATCTGTTACTAATTCATTTAGGATTTAGGTTTAGAGAAGACAAGTGCTTTTCTCAGTGCTCTCAAGGTTCTCTAGGTTGAGTCAAAGACTGAATAGGCAAAGCTCTGAGAGCATATCCCTTTCACAAGAGCCAGTGCCCGCTAGTATCTTGGACTATGATACTTTCTTATGTGCTGATCTCACCTAGACCAGGATAGTTGAATATCTCTTCCCTTCCCCCACCTCTGATATCTCTTGGGGCATCCTTAACCAACCCGCAGCTGCACACTCTTGTCAGATGCAGTCCACATTCCACACTCCACACTTGTCTTTGCCCATATCACACTTACTCTTATTGAATAAGAATAAAAATTCTTTCTCTACCTCAGTTCACTGAACCAAAATGAATGTGGATGGTTAAACTTTACCATCCCCGCTACCCTCATGAATGCTTTCTCCCCAGTCAAGAGGAATAGTTATAGACTATTTGGGAAGTTTCTGGAAGATACCACTCTATAATCTTTGCTAGGTTCCTGAGATAACATCCACGTTGATTCCTTTCCTCCCTCTTCTTGGAGGCTGTCTGTGAAAGCTCGCTGGTCTTGGTTCTAATCTTTGGCATCTCAGACCCATGCCTTTATCAGGAAGACAGATATTTCCTTCATCTCCTCTGACCAGGGATTGGTCATATAGATGTGAATGTTTACAAACTGTTTTTGTGAAGACAGGCTGGCTTGTCAAATCAAGTCAGGTACGTGCTTGGGAAGCTCAGTTCTCTGGTAGTCCCTTTCCTAAAAGAATATGGATACAGTACATAATACGTAGTGTGGATGTGCCCGTTGTCTTTCAGCAGGTTCTGCCTTGGCTCCTGCTGAGAGAGCAGCATTGCACAGACTTTCCATACTTGTTTTTGCCAGTGTAGCTACAAGCTCTAAGTTCATGGTGGGCCTCTGTGTAACCCATCCATTTCTTCCTTTTTCATAAAATAACTTATTTACAGCTATGCCTTTCCTCTTCATGCTTCAAGATAAGAAGGTCACCTGTTGGACTTGTGGGTGTCTGGAGGGGAGAGATAGGATAGTGACATTTAGGCTCAAACTGGCCTTGTTTTGCTTGCATTGGAGGGCAGTCACCTGGGCAGGGGGTATTTACTTTGGGAGGAAGTGGTGCTTCCCTCCTGACTCTCAACTTCTTTTTGAACAGGTTAGACATCAACACCAATACCTACACATCTCAGGACCTAAAGAGTGCACTGGCAAAATTCAAGGAGGGGACAGAGATGGACACTTCAAAGGAAGACAAGGTTTGTGATAGTCTTTCCAAGGGTTAGTCTATATCTGTAGATGGCCTTAAAGGGAATAACTCTCTCTTGAAACTTTTGCAATAAACATGGGATAATGATAGTAGTATTGTAAATTAATTTAAACAGCAATTGACACCAATTAAGTGACCCATTATAAACCATTACAAGAAAATACCTGGAGCATACCAGTCATCTTTAGGTTAGGACTGGATTTCCCATTCTATATTTGGGTAAACTGTGACACAAAGCAGAGATGCCCATTTTCACAGATGTGAGAATAGGGAATAAAATTCTGAAATCCTTACTAACACTTCAATTAGACACCATTGTGTTCTTAAAGATCAGAGAGGCTAGAGTCCTTGTCCTCCTTTGAGCATGCAGCATTTGTACCTTGACCAACATGGTGTCAGCAGAAGCTGAACAGAAAGCTTGAATTTCTACCCTCTACTCAGTGGTGGTAGACTATTCTCTGCTTCTTCTGCTGGTGTAGTAGCTGCAATGACCAATTGTATAACCTGGTTTTCTACCACCTAGATAGTAGTAGAAAGAGAAGGGCAGACTGTTTATTTTGTTGAAGTAGTATCAGCAAAGGAAAAGGGAATTTGAGAACTATATTATGCTGGAATACTGCCCAGATTTTTTAGATTAGCCTCTTGGCAACCTAAAGAAACAAAGAAAATATATCAAAATAATACTACAAGTCCAAAAACTATAGTGGTATTGGAGTCACCACTACACAAGAATGCTAGAACTAGTACATTAAACCTAAACAGAATGATTACCTATGATAATGGAAGTGCAGTGTAGGATTCAGTCACTTATACCTTAATACACAAAATAGGATACAATAAAAAAAAAATCTTGTCATCATAACAAGAACCAAGATGATGACATCTTGAATTGGGAAAGACAGTAGATGTAAGCAGTGACGTGACTCAGAAGTTGGAATTTTCTAACAAGGGTTTTAAAACAGCTGTCATAAAAATATTCTGTTGAGTACTTACTAACACTTGAAACAAATGAAAACCTCTGCAGAGAAATAGAAGATATGCAAACTACCAAATGGAACTTTAGAACTAAAAAATAATGACCATTAAACCAAAAGCAGGGCCCTCCTTGGTGGCACAGCATGTTAAAGCCCAGTACTATGAAGCTAGCTGCAGCCGCTTCAGCACAAGTTTGATCCCCAGCCAGGGAGCTGACCCACATGGCGTGGCAGACCTCACCTGCTCCTCCCCTCAGCAGTGTACTTCATCACTCTGCCTGTTCTGCTCCCCACTCTGTCTCTGGTGAATCCTCTCACCACCACCCCCCAACACTTCTGGCCTGTACCCCAGTTCTGTATGTATAAATAATCTTTTTTTTTTAAAGATTATTTATTCATATAGAACTGGGGTACAGGCCAGAGATGCGGAGGGTGAGAGGATTCACCAGAGACAGAGCAGGGAGCAGAACAGGCAGATCAATGAAGTACACTGCTGAGGGGAGCAGCAGGCGGGTCAGGAGAGGTCTGCATGCCATGTGGTCACCTCTGGGACAGACGGGGATTGAACTCATGCGGAAGTGGCTTAAGCTTCTAGTGTTGTGCTTTAACCCGCTGCCACCAGGGAGGGCCTGCATAAATAATCTTAAAAAAAAAAACAACTTCAAAAACAAACTTGTACATTGATGGGTGAGGAGTTCAAAACAAAACAAAACAAAAAAAGCAGTGGGCAAGCTCTATATCAGAATACAGATGAGAGATAGAATAAGTGAGCTTAAAGACAGATAAAAATTTATCTAAATAACAGAAAATATATTTAAAAAATACACAGAGACTTGGGGACCTGTGCAACTATAACAGAAGATCTAATATTTGTGTCATTGAGCTCTGAAGGAAAGGAGAAAGAATATAGGGCTGAAAAAAGGGATAAAGGTGGAAAAAACCCTAAATTTGATCAAAGGCACAAATCCAACATATTCATGAATCCAAGAGTATTGCAGATAGAATTAATCCAAAGAAATCAACATATTGACGTATTACAGTCAGACTCCTGAAAAAAGGAAAATCTCAAATGCAGTTAGACAGAAACAATACATTATCTGTAAGTAACCATGACGAAGCACAGTGGACTTTTCATTTGAAAACAAAAAGAACGAAAGTATGTAGACCAACATTTTTAAGAGCTGACAAAAAAGTAGACTCCTCAGAATTCTATAGTAATTCTTAAATATCCGTTAGGAGTGAGGGGTAAATCAAGAGATTCTCATACAAAAGAAAATGAGAATTTGTCACTAGCAGATCTACCTAGAAGAATGACTAAAGTATGTTGTCCAAATAGAAAGGAAATAATAATAGAGGAAATAATGGAACTTCATGAAGGAAAAACAAAATGAAATCAAATGGGATAAAAGAATATACTACCCTTTTCTTCAGTTTTTGAAATTGTGTTTGATAATGGAAGCAAAAATTGTATCATTGGCAACTCCATATCTGTTCAGTATGAATTGCATAGCCAGAGTCCAGAGTTACAACCACCTTTTGTTTCTTTTTGCACTTTTATTTTAGTTGGGTAATTCTTTTTTGCATTATCCATTTTCATGAAATATTACAAGGGTTTGTCAATGGGGACAAAGAAGTTATAAAACTACATTTTGGGGTCCCTCCCTGGTGGCGCAGCAGGTTAAAGCACAGCACTGAGAATCTAAAAGCCGTTTCCGCATGAGTTCGATTCCCGCCTGCCCCGGAGGTGACCACATGGCATGGCAGACCTCTCCTGGCCCACCCGCTGCTCCCCTCAGCAGTGTACTTCGTCGATCTGCCTGTTCTGTTCCCCACTCTGTCTCTGGTGAAGCCTCTCACCGCCCCTAAGCATCTGGCCTGTACCCCAGTTCTGTGTACCCAAATAAATAAATCTTTAAAAAAAAAAACAAAAAACAAAACTACATTTTGGTACCTCTGTATGAACTGAACAACAGATGCACAGCAACTAAAAGCTCACTGACTTTGAAAGAAGTATGTACTTGGAATTTGGCTGTGTCAGATCTGTGTAAAGCAAGGACTGTTTGTGACAAAAGATTTCTATCTAGAAAATATAAAGAACTCTCAAAACTCAAAAATCCAGCCAAACCACACCAACCAACCAACCAAAAAACCCTTTCAAACCTTAACAGTAAAAATCAACAATCTATTTGGAAAATGGGCAAAGGACATGAACAGACACTACACCAAAAAGGACATATGAACTGCAAATAAACACATGAAAAGATGTTTAATGTCATTAGATATTCAAAAGCTGAAAATTAAATCTATAACAGGATATCACTACATTTGTTAGATAGCAAAAATTAAAATAATCCTAATCCTAAATACAAATGAGGACATGAAGAAATGGGGTATTTCATATGCTCTTGGTGGGAGTGAAAAATGGTACAGTGTTCTAGAGAACAGTTGGGCAGTTTTTATAAAACCAAACACACCTGTCATATGTCTTAGCAGTTACATTCTTGATGAATCCCAGAGAAGAAAGAATTGAAGGTTATATAAAAACCTGTATACAAATGTTCATACTATTTTATTCCTAGTGGCCAAAAGTTGGAAATAATTCAAATGTTCTTCAATAGGGGAGTGGTTAAACAAACTATACAAAAAAATATTATTCAACACTCAACACTCATCAGAACTATATATATATGCAGTAACTTTGAATGTATCTAAAGAACATTATGTTCAGTAAAAAAAAAACCTAAATATTGAAAAGTTACAGACTGCATAATTCAATCTATGTAACATTCTCCAAATGCCAAAATTATAGAGATGGAGAACAAATCAGTGGAATGGGAGAGAGATAGAAGGATGAGGTTTAGCTATAAAGGAGTAGCACAGTGAAGCTGTTTGTTGATGGTGGACAATGCTTTAGATTGATGGTTCTTGTGGTTACATAAATCTTTATGTTGGATAAAATTGTATAGAATGGTACATGGATGCAGATGAGTACATGTAAAAGCTGGTGAAATCTATATGAATTCGGTAGTCAACACTATTGTACCTGTGCCATTTTCTTGGGTCTAATAAATGTAGGCAAGATGTTATCACTGGGGGAAGCTGAATGAAAGGTACACAATACTCTCTGTACTATTTTTGCAACTTCCTGTAATTTTTTTAATTATTGCAAAATTGAAAAAAAAAATTAAGACCTTCCTGAGGGCCAGGCTCACATCATTTTTGTCAGAAGTGATTAATTTCTTATCCTGCTTGCCTATCATTCCACAGCTGTAGGCAGGGGCTTAGTGTTCGCAGACTTCATTGCCTGGCCTTTGGCAGCCGTCCATGGTCAGTCTTCTAGCTGGGTGTAGAGTGTATATTTCATTGTTGTTTTAGCCCAAAGAAACAGGATATGGCTTCCCAGAGATGTGATTGCTTTGCTAGGAGCCTGGTCTTTTCAACGAAGAGGCTGATTCATTTCTTTGTTTGGTGTTTCTATGGAGTGTTTGTAACAGGAGAGAAAGCCTATGGGTAATAGATGAGCAATTTTGAGCTGACAGCTGTTTGTCACCTTGCTTTTTATAAATATCTGTGCCTTTTAATTTTCCTTGGAAGACAGTAACACAAACTACTGTGACCTTTTTGATTGTCTTTATAAGTGCTGTCTTCTAAAATTGGGAGGAAAACAGGGAGTGTCACATGTTTAAAATAACTAATTAAAGTCTTTTATTCACCTCCACCGTAACTTCATTTAAAAATTTTTTGTGTTGGATGGGGAGAGATTGAGAGAAAATTGTATGAGACTTGAATGTAGTACATACAGTAATTTAGCCACTTCAAACAGTTGAACAAATTGTACACCTGCAGTTAGATTGACAGTAATGACAGTGATTCAATTTTCATCAGCAAATTGCTCCCACTCTGACAGCTCCTTAGCCTCAGTTTCCTACTTCTGGATTTCCCTAAAATGTTGCTAGAATGGTCAGTACAAAACCTAGATACTCTTGTTGTAGAAGACCAGGAACCAGGGTATGCATTATTTCCCCTTAGACTTTCATCTTTCCATGTGAAATTAGAGGTTGAAGATGAGCTCATTTTAACTGACCTCAGTGATTGAAACAAGATTTTCCATTCCTTAGCATTGGATTAGAATAAGCAAATCCTGGAAAATCTTGAGTGTGTTTTTGGAGCAGAGATTTTGAGGACTCACTTCTCTAGGCTTTAAAGAAGGTTTCAGAAGTTTTGAAAGCACAAACTAACAAAAATTTTGAGTTCTGGAGCAACACTGTATTGAGGGTGGGCATCCATGGCAGACCATGGGAATCTTGGGCCAATGTCACCAATTGATTTAATTAATCATATTTTTGCTGCTCTCCTTAGGCAACGCAGGCCAAGGTTAAAAGGCTATTCCGTCCCATTGAAGAACTGAAGAAGGACTTTGCAGAGCTGAATGTTGTCATTGAGACTGATATGCAGATCATGGTGCGGCTGATCAACAAGTTCAATAGTTCCAGCTCTAGTCTGGAAGAAAAGATTGCGGCACTCTTTGATCTCGAATATTATGTCCATCAGGTATTGTACTTCTTTGTCCATAAGGCTAACTTTTAACAAATTGCTCCATATATAAATCCCTCTGCCCTTAGTCCTAAGAAAATTACTTAGGACTTTAATTTTTTCCCAGGGCATTCAGTATTTTAAATCTAGGGTAATATCTATAGTAATAAAATATATTCTTCTAGACCAAAGTCAACCTCTTTTTCATTTGGTGTGGTACATCCTTAATTTTTTCAATACTGAGATTACAACAGAGGTAAAATAGATAGGGCCACTGTTCTGTATAGTTTATGGTTTGAAAAAGATTAGTGAACAATGAATAAATTAATAGAAATAAGATTGTGATGAGGCCTCCTAGGGTAAAATAGGAGTGTGTAACAGAGGAATTTAGCCTAATCAGTGACATTGGGGAAGGCTTCTCTGAGGATGTGACTTTTAGATTGAGTTGTTAAAGGATGATTAGAGATTGGCTAGGCAGAGAGATTAGAACAGGGAATGAAAAACTATGATCTATAGATAAAAATCTGTCCACTGACTGCTTTTATAAATAAAGTTTTTTAAAGATTTATTTTATTTATGCATATAAGAACTGGCAGTTAGGCCAGCAGTGTGGGGGTGAGAGGATTCACCAGAGACAGAGTAGGAGGCAGAACAGGCAGATCTACTGAAATATACTGCTGAGGGGAGTATTAGGTGGGACTGCAGAGGTCTGCCATGCTATGTGGGCTAATGGCACCAATCCCTGGCCAGGGATTGAACTTGTGCTGAAGTGGTTGCAGACAGCTTTATAGCGCTGTGCTTCAACCAGTTGTGCCACCAGAGAGGGCCTTGTAAATAAAGTTTTATTGGGACAGCCAATTTTTTATGTTCTGTCTTACTGTTTTTGTTTGTTTTCATGCTACAATGACAGAGTTGAGTAGTTATGATGGAACCATATGGCTCAAAAAGCCTAAAATATTTACTACTAGGCCCTTCAGAAGTTTGCTAAGCTTTAGATTAGAGTTTTCCAAGCAGAGATTCTGAACAGAAAAGAACTTGGTGAGACTAAGAACTGGAAAAGACAGGAATGACTGGAGTAAAGTGGGTTATCATAGATAAAGTAGAAAGGTTAGGGAATCAGAGAGGTAGATTTGGTTATGTCATGATCTTCATGATTTTATCCTTGATCCTAACAACTACTGGAGAATTTGAAGCATTGAAATGACTGATCAGACTTATGTTATAATTATAATAGGTAATATTTGTTGAGTGTTATCATATACTAGGCTCAGGTTCAAGTGCTTTCTACATATTAATTTCTGACCTCCACAACTGCTTTACAAGTAGGCACTACTACTAATCTTATTACTGAGAGAAGCAAGGCACAGAGTAGGTAACTGCCTGAGGTCACCCAGCTAGTGAATGTAGAACTGGAATTTGACCTTAAACTGTCCTATTAACCGTTTGACCAGTGTCTTTCACAGAATACTAGTGTCAATCATTTGAATGACGTTCAAAGGAAATAGGTAGATCTAAGGAAAAGGAACCAGTGAAACTATTCATTTAGTGAATAAATTAATTGGGTGTCTGCAATGTTCCAGGCACTTGTGATACATCTGTGAATAAAATCAGAGTTTATTTGCTAGTAGAAATAGATAACAATAAACATATCCCATAAGTAAATTACAAATAAACTGTTTAAAGGTGACAAATATTATGAAAAGATAAATAATAGAACAGGTTAAGGATTGATGTGGTTTTGGGAAAGAAAATCTCAGGCAAAAAGAAAGCTCAGGTACTCAGACTCAGAAGTGGAGGTGTGTATGCTAGTGTGTTTGAGGAGCCACAAGTTTAGTATTTCTGGAGCTGAGAGAAGTGAGTGGATGAAAATTGGAAGAGTTTGGGAGGAAGAGCATATGTAGGCCATGAAAAGAATGAAAGTGGATATTATTGAAGGAAGTTGAGTAGAAGAATACCATGATCTGACTTAATTTTAAAGGATTCCTCTGGCTGCTGTGTGGAACATTAAAGGCAGAAGCATGAGTAGAAGTAGGGAAAACAGAGAGGAGGCTGTCTCAGTAATCCAGCCTAGGGCGATGGTGACCTAGGAAAACTGTGTAATCAAAGCCTTGTTTGAGATCCTCATCAAGACAGATCTTCAGTATCCTCCCACACATGACACTGCCCTTGTTCTTTATAAAGTTGGCTAAAAGACATTCTTTTTTCTTTAGGATTTTGCCAGCCTTTGTGGTGAAAGAGATGAGCATGTACTGTATCTGCAGGAATGATGGGTGACCTCTTCATGTTTTCTCTGCTCATAATTCTTTCTCAGACCTCAAATATTAGGTCTCTAATCCTCTTAGAGACAAAATAGACCTGGGTTCTCTTCCTCTTTTCCCATCTTTCTGATATTTAAAAAAAAAAAAAAATCCAAGAGTTTTTCATTATAGATATTTAAAAGATTAAGGATCATAGGGGTTATTGGCCAACTTAGTCCTGTTCTGATCTTGATAGCTTTTATTTTTTTCTCATCTTACTGTGGATAGATCCTTAGGTTCAGGTTTCTGTAGGCACTTCCTTTTTTTGTAGCATAAAAGGCCAAAATGACCAGTGAGCTTATCATATACCTAAGATGTAACAAGCACACAGGGTGCTGACAGCACCCCAACAAAATTTTCTCCCTATAATCCTGTCAGTCATCTGGTGACATCCCGTTGTGCTTTCATGGGTCACTGGATAGGGAAGATTCTGGAATATCACTAAACTCAGCCTGAAGTTTGCCCAGGAACCAGTCTCTTGACAGAGGCCAAGCTTACTCTGTTAATTGAAGGTTCATGAATGTTCCCTGGTCATTGGCCCCTTAACTGAAAATATAGGACCCTGGTTTGGGCTGGTATGTCAGGCTATCAAGTGGCAGGCTACATTGTGATTCCACAACAGTATTAAAAAAGACAAAACTTGAATTGGGAGTTGGGGTGATCCTCAGGGCTTTCAAGCTATCATCAGCGACTGTGGCCTGATTCCCAGCCAGGAAGGTGACCCACATGGTACAGCAGACCTCTTTTGTCTCACCTGCTGCTCCCTCAGCAGTATATCTCAGTAGATCTGCCTGCTCTGCTCCCCAGTCTGGTGAATCCACTCACACACCTTCCACCTCTGGCCTACACCCCAGTTTTTGTATGCATAAAAAAAAAAAAAAGACACAACTTGACCTCAAGTTCTAGTTGCAATGGGGATTTAGGGTAATGTAATGCTAACTTTGAAGATAGGACTTTTTTTTGCCAGGAATGTGACCAGTCCATTCCTATTCTAGACCTATTAATTGGAAGTTTTGAGAAGCCATGGGCTTCAAGGACCCAAACTGGAACTGCCCAAGGATTCTTTATAGCCACATTTGAATTATTAAACTGGATTTGTGAAAAAGCAAAACTGTGTGTGGGTAAGACTTTATGAATTATTTGTGAGGAGCTGCCTCTGTCTGCCCCATCCAACCTGGGGCTGTCAGTTTGCCTTTCCTACTTAACAATGATTACTCAACTATTTACTATCATTTCTCCCTTATTTACTATCATTTCTCCCTTTCTCTATTTCCTGCTTTCTCATTGTTTTGTCAGTACTGTGATTTTTCTCCTTTTCATCTGAGTTCTGACTTAGTTCCCTTCTGTTTTCTTCTTTCTGCTCTTTTCCTCGACTTGGAGCTCCTTTCCCTGTTCTCCATCCTGTAAGCAGCTTGGGTAAAGTTCTGGCTCCTAACTCAGATGTGGAGCAGATCTGGTCCCTGGTCATTCTTCTGTGTGACTTCAGGCAGGCCCCACCTTTTGGATCTTTATCTTCCAGGTGTGCAGTGGGTAGAATGACTCTTTTCTTGCTCAACTCCAGTGAATAACAAGTGAGAAAACATCTTGAAGAGGCTGAAGTGCTTATATAAATGGCAGTATATATAACACCCTGACTTATTATGTCAGTAATAAAGATAAACTGAATACAGAACCTTTGTGACTCTGGGCTGTGTTGCTTTTGGTGCTGTCAGAATGGCACTAACCCTGTTAGAAAATCATAACAGCTTTGATAGGTGGCTATGGGCACATGGGCAGGTTTGTAGTCAGAAAGCCTGGAGAAAGGAGGATTGAAGAAGAGATAGTGAATTCCTGGATTTTAAATTTGATAGTCTGTGAGGAAAGCTCAGTATAAGCTTTCTTTGTATGTAGTCTACAAAACACCCAGCACTGCATCTTCACTGATTTATCAGCCACAAATCATTCTTCTTCTGAAGGGTATACCGAGACAGAAACAATTTCGGTCTGGACCAGACTCCATGCTTGACAGCCCTGAACTGACCATCTTGTCAGCTCTATTCTGTTAATACAGAAACCCAGACTGCCCTTTTTACTCACTGTGGGGTTTATTTCAGTAACATTAAAAAAATAAGATTTATCTGTTGGTTTAAAGATTATTAAATTCCTAACTGTATGCTTAATGCTGTTCTATAATCATTTGTAGATGGACCTACAATAGTGGACAGACAGGGAAAAAAACATGCTAATTCTTGTAAAGATCATATCAAAATATATAAGAATGATTTTCCAGGATTTAAAAAAAAAAAGAAAAACAGGCTAGGTTCAACTAAAAATACTCTGAGTCAAACACAGCTATCCTTCCAAGTTACTTTGAGCTCTCATCCGTTCAGAGGACACAGGCAGGCAGGAAAGGGCTCTGTCATATGGAGGAAAAAGTAGGTAGCAATCTCATTTTTGGGCTGAAGCTTCCTGAGTTTTCTGCCATCCTTTGTGGCAGACATAGTTACTACATAGGGAAGAAGGACCCTCGATTAATTTGTCTTGTTCTAGGATAGAAATGAAGCTTGGAGAATGAGATTCTCATTCTGAACTTGGAACTTTGGATGTGGCTAGGCCAGGACTGTCTGATAGAACTTTATGTGAGTATGGAAATGTTCTGGACAAATAATAGTCATTCAAATAATAACTGCTAGCCAGTCATGCTGGCCTAGATTAAAGTCTTTGAGAAAGAGACTTTTGTGCATACTTTATCATGAATGTCCAAAGATTCACTTAGACCCTATGAAGTAAAAAAGAGAGAAGGGGCACTGTGGTATTACTCTCCAAGCGCTCTTCCAGCCTCCCTCTCCATCCAGCAGGGTTCCTTTTATAATCTCTGTCTTCTGATTAAAAATGAATTCCCTTCTGCGAAGTGTCTGCTGCATCCATTGTCGCTTTACTGTTTGGAGCTGGACATCAGCACAAAGCATGGTTATTATTTAGTGATGCTGTTGACATCAGATCTTTGTGTTAACACTTGTACATCAGGAGTAAGCTTTGTGACTTGTTTGGATATTAAAATTTTCCAGGACATGGTTGGCAGGAAGCAACAACCTGTTTCCAAGCAGGTGCTCATAAATCAAGTTAGGTGAATTAGGAGTAGTAAGATTTAAGATTATTTAAAAATTTGGTTTGTTTTTTACAGCCCTATCCTGGTAGTCAGAAGGTCACCATTGATTTTTTACTTTGCAGTGGAACTTACTATTGCTTTTGAATAGTCACCAAAGAGGCTATTAAGAGCTCTTTTTTCTTTGATGGCTGGACTGCACTAAGCACTGCTTTTGTTGCAGATGGATAATGCACAGGACCTGCTTTCCTTCGGTGGTCTTCAGGTGGTGATCAATGGGCTGAACAGTACAGAGCCCCTGGTGAAGGAGTATGCTGCCTTTGTGTTGGGAGCTGCCTTTTCCAGGTGAGTAGGAAGGATGGTTGCTGCATTGGCCCAGCGTCATTTGGTAAAATCTAATTTTACTCTTGGCCTGATTGGCCTGGAAGGTTTCATCTGAACTCTTACACATCCCTGTCACACACATTCCTATCCATATGTCAGTATAATCTGAATGAACCAAGTTAGAAATTGATTCTACCCCATACATAAGAATTACAGCCACATTGTTGTCATCTGTGTATGACTATGTTGACCCCCATCTTTTATATTTATGTGTGTGTATATGTGCACACATACATTTAGTAATATTTTAAGTCATTCTGTATTTACTCTCAGCTAATGAAAAGTTAGGCTAACCATCAATAATTAAGAGGAAGGGGAATAACTCCAAGAGTTCATCTTTGGAGCTCTAAAACTATATCTGGTGAAAAAATGATGAATTTGAACTTGAGGGTAACTGTCTTTGCCTAGTTGTCTGGAACCAGTCCACATGCAGTCAGGTTATCACACTCTCTAGATTGGGAATTGTTTAGAATTTCAGTAAATATGGTTTATGCTAGAAGACTGATAAGGCAAGAGGAATTTAGGTAGCATCTCTAAAGAGTGAATGCAAAAAGAGATGTAAATGAGCACCTCATCATTATACTCATAGGGAAAAAAAGTGTCTGTATTCTGTAGGGGGTCCATTGGCATTATAGTTTCCTTTTAGCTCCTAGGAATCTCTGAAGTAGGATCTAGTATTCAGGCTCTTACTGCAAAGGCACGGACAGTGGCTTTTAGAGGTAGTGATGCTTGGTTTCAGGGGTTGTAATACTGCAGGAGAAAGACTATTCTCAGTATCTGTACCACTGAAAACTTGGTTTTGAATCTGGGGCCTTGAACTCCACTCCACCATCGTGACACACAGGAAACTTTGTTTTAAAAAGCTTGCCATTGTCTCGCATTCATTCTTACCTTTTAATTGGTCTCTGGGTGGTGCCTTCTCATTTTGAAAGGCTTTGGCATCTTTTTTTTTTTTTTTTTAATTAAATTGAGGGTAGATCTAGGAAGACTGGAAGAGCTGTTCCATGAGGAGATGCTGAGAAAACTGCATGTCTTTGTTCCCCTTATCATTGACCTGCCTTGATACTCAAGTCCTGGGTGTTCTGTGATTGTGCTATTAATGGTCAAGGCTGCGTCTTACAGGGCTCTGTAGATATTCCTAGATTCTACCAGAGCTAGAGTCTCCCTGGAAGCCCAGGGAAATCTCAGCCTGTGTCTACAAGGTGGAGGAGAATCTGCAAGTTTGCCATAGGTAGCTGTGATTTCAGCTCTGGAGAAATCCAGTGTCTTATCATCATAAGTCTTTAGGGGCTGGAGAACTTTATTGAGGTTCACTTTTTGTTTTTCATTCCATAAAATTAAAAACTAAATCAGGGGCCTCCCTGGTGGCCTGGGGGTTACATTTCAGCACTATCACTGCTACAGTCTGTTCTGCTCCCCGCTATGTCTCTGGTGAATCTTACCCTTTTCCACACCACTAACCGTCCCCCACCCCTACCCCCCGGCCCCTGCCACCATGCCTCTGGCTTACATCCTAGTTCTTCTGTGCAAAAACAGAACAACACACCACCAACCCTAAGAACTAATTAAAATGCTTTTAATCTCCAAACTCTTTTTTGAAAATATTTCCCATAATCTCAAGTATTTTCTTTTTCCATTTTCAATACAAACACTGTACCCTGCATGCCCTTTGCCATCGCTTCTGGAAATGTTCCTTTAGGTGAACTGTGTAACATTTGTTGTCAGATCCTCATTGAAGGGGGCTAAGTGACTTAAGATGTATTTCATAAACTTTGATTCTGTTCAGCAAACCATAACTCACCCAAAGATTGCGCCAGTATGTGGTGTTATTGAGACTTTTCCCTGATTGTATTAGTGTAAGACCATGTTAACTTTATGCAACATCACTAAAATTTAAATAGAGATAAATATAAAATATTGCAATTTAGTGTTATGGTGGCAGGCAAACTGCTGTATTCAAATTGTCCTAGCTAGGCATTTGATGGCTCACTGGAGGGCAATTACAGTGACAGCATGGTACGGCACCAGCACTTTTAGAAGCAAGCAGCAGGTTCCAGAACATCATGAAAATGTCGATGTTTTATGCAAAGAGAAACTTGATGCAAATCAAGAATAATTTTATACAGATGCAAATCAAGTATAATTTTATACAGAGGCAAGTTTTATTGTTTTAGTAATATTATTTTATTTTGAAGTAAGCATTGATTCTGTAGCTCCCTACCTGCTGGCAGCCCACAGGTGTGTGTTCACGTAACATACAAATACACACAGTGATTGAAGGAGCTTGCTTTTCCTTAAGAGGGCGTTCAGGGCACAGTCGGCACATGAGTCTTGGAGTCCTAACCCTTGGAGATGTTGTTTAGATGGCATTTCTTATAGCTGTGGGTGGGCAGGTATGGTGCTGAGTCAGTGAGGTCATCAGAAATTTGTGTTCAAGTCTGCTCTCCACCATTTCCTGGTTGTTTTCTCATATACACATAATTTCACCTTTCTAAGCCTTTTTTCATTTCTTAACTTGGAACAATACTAGGTGTTCTCCACATTTAATAAGGTCAAGTGAGTGTGAAATAACATAATATACAATGAGTCTTATGAAGATGTTTATAAATCACCTGTTAGTGACAAGGTGGTATAACATCATCATGCTCATTGTGGGTATTTTATACTAGGAATTTTTCCTATGAGGAAATTCTTACTTCTATTGTTCCTAACTGTACAAATTTTTATCTTCCTTCTTTTCACTTCTGGTAAGGTGCTAATGTTCTATCAAATGTTTTTTGGGTACTAATCCTGCTGCTTCATGAGTCTGTTTATTTGCTTACCTGGCTTAATTGTTTAATAAAATTAATTGCTTAATATTGCATTCCGGATTCACTGAAATACACTCCTAAGGGGAGCTGCAGGAGAGACAGAGAGATCAGCTTTCCAGACCAGACCACAGAGATGATAGCAGTGAGACTTAACCCCTAGGCTCCCAGGAGGCCCTGGATACCAACCTCCACATTTCTATAGATAAAACACTTCCCTCTTGTTAAAAAGCAAAACAATTATTCCAAAATCAAGAAGAGTTGGATTTAAATGTAGTTGACATGGCCACTAAATGTTACATGCCCACTGAAATAATTTGTTGCCTTACTTAGAATATTACTATTATTTATGAGCCATGCACACTGATTTTCTGCAGTTTGTTGCCTCATGTGTAAGGCTCTTGCCCAAGAAGGTTTGTGGAGATAGGGGTGGTGATGTTTTGGGCAGCTTTATTTTTATGGTGTCTTTGTTGTTGGATTATTGCATTCTGGTATTTTATCTTTTTCTTTTTTTTACAATTAAATTTATTGTTGCACTATTTACAATAGGGTAGATGTGGAATCAACCCAAATGTCCAAAAATAGATGACTGGCTCAAGAAGATGTGGTATATATACACAGTGGAATATTACTCAGCATCAAAAAATGATAACTCATGCCTTTTGCAGCAACATGGATGGAGCCTGAAGGGATCATGCTTATTGAAACTAGAAAGAAAAAAAAAAAGTATCGGATGGTTTCACTCATAGCAGGAGCTTAAGGGATCAGGAAAAAAAAAAAAGCAACTGTAATAAAGTAAAAACAAAAATCAACTATAAACCAGAGACATTCTATTATTCTGTAGGGATGGAGAGGGGAATAGGATCAAAACTGGGTCGGGAAGAGCACACGGGACTATGGTGAATGGCACATGGGTGAAGTGGTGGTGGGAAGTCCATGGGGATTACAATTGAGATGAAAAAATGTACAAAATGAAGAATGATGTAAAAAAATATATAATATTTAAAAAATAAATTTATATATATTTTTCATCATTGTTCTTTTTTAAAACAAAGTGTACTTTTTTTCTTTCCCCCCTCAGATGTAGTCCCCTTAGAATTTCCTCCTTGAAATGGGGACTGTTTTTTTCTAAACCTATTCTTCTGCAGTCACTTGTTTTGGTGGCCTTTCTGTGACCTTGTTTCATCTCACGATGGCTTGAATGTATGTTTCTCTAAGGTCTGACCTACTAAGAATCTCTGGAATCCCAGAGAAGTAATTTTTTTTGTGTGTGTGTAAGAGAAGTCTCAGCAAGGTGATGAGAAATTCAGAGGAATTGAAGCCTTCTGTAATCTGATTTTGGTCTTATTTCTCAGCAACCTGACTGCCTACTTTTGGGTCTAGGGAAAAGCGAAGACTTTTGAAGAAAGACTTCACCTTTTTATTGTCAATAATTAAACTATCAAAGAACTGATGTGTGTAACCCCAGGAACACTTTCTTTGCTGTCCTCCTGCCCCTGCCTCAGTCACTTTTGGTGTCCTTTATCCATCTTTTTAATAAGTCACATTCCTATCTGCATATATGTGAATTATTTTGCAATTAGATGGATTTGTAAATGCTCATGGAATGTGTACTTTGATTTAAACTGTCCATGTTCAGTATAAAAAGTACATGTGCCATCATTCATAGTATGGTTATGTTTTATTATTATGGATCCCTAGAAGAGAATTCTTCACCCTCTCTATCCTTGTCATCTTCCTTGAACCCCACCTTGGCATATTTTTTGGCACTTAATTGTATTTTTAAAATGAGTATCTCTCCCACCCCTTCTCCTGCACCCAGTGACTCCATGCTTTATTGGCTCTAGTTTCCTCAGTTGTACTCTCCCCATTGAGGTCTCACCAATACATTATTAACCATTTGGCCATTATCATATCACCATGTCCTATATCCAACTGTTGGCCTCTAGTTCTTGATTTCTTTCCTGCCATCCTCAATGGATTTCACACTTACCTACATCTTCTCCCCTCTCTTTACTAAGTAATAATATGAGCTTGTTGGGTATTAACAGTCACAACTTAAACAACTCAATAAAGGTCAACAAATTTCTGTCATCCATAGATATCTCTAAATATCTCAGAATTCATTTCCCATTTTTACCAGTAGCTTACGTT